GCTATAAGTCATAAGCTATAAGCTATAAGCTCAAAAATTACATATAAGCTATAAGCTAGCTTATCAGCTATCAGCTAGCTTATCAGCTAATTTTACCAAACATAGCCTTAGCAGTTTAAAAGGAAAGGGAAAGAAATCATAGTGATATGTTTTTAAAAATTGCATAATAAGGGGAAAGCAATTATCGCATTTTTTATTAGAAAAACTCGTTTATTTAGTACATTCCGAATATTTTGATTTAAATGCCGATATAATTTTTATTTTTTTTTATATAATTGATAAAACGTTCACAGTGCAAATGAAAGAGTAGCTGGTCAACCTTTTGCATTTAATGGCAATTATTATGACAATAGCTTAATTTTAGACTAAATTGGAAGACCAACTTTATTTGCATGATTTTTGTTACTTAATGATAGTGATAATATGCAGTTTGTTTTTTATGAGTTGTTGCATGGTATGAGGGGTTAATTGATCATTTTTCTTATAAAAATAACTTGACTCATTGATGAATATAACTGTGGAATATATAATCTATCAATAATGCTTCTCTACCCACAGTGGGCACATGTTAAAATGCCCACCGCTTATGTGGCATGCACACATTGGTGATGTATTTTTTTGAACATATTAACATCACCAATGTGTGCATGCCACGTAAGCGGTGAGCATATTAACACGTGCGCACCGTAGGTAGGGGAACATTATCTTCTATAATGTTAAAAAAATACATTATCAATGTTAATATGTTAAAAAAAATACATTACCAATGTGTGCATGCCACATAAGCGGTGGACATATTAACATGTGTCCACCGTGAGTAGATGAGCATTATTGTATAATATATATTTATATATATATATATAATTATTGGTTAATCCATTAATAAAATATTTAATAAAATCTCATTTCGATTTCCCGCCAAAAAACGTTACGTTGTTATTTAATTAATTTTCATATGCATTGAATGGTGATTATTAAGTGAGATATGACAGTTACAACCAAATTCAAAGATTTTTTTCCCTTATTTCTCAGGTAATTAATTTGTTGTCTCAATTACAAATAAAACTTTTATTAAGCAGAAACTTGATTAGTTAACATATTTACACAATAAAATAAATAAGTTGCTAGAAAATTTATCTCAAAAAATCATTTTCTTTTTTTCTTTTTTAAATTTACTCCATAAATCAATAAAATTAAGGCATGCTCAACAAAGTGAATAAATACAACACATATACAAATTTTCAAAAACATTATAAATAATTGCAAATACTAAATTAATTGACCACTTCTTAAGCTTTGAATTAGACCTACAAAAAAGAAAAAGAAAAATAAAAAAAAAATCAACATATTATTTAACATCAAAGAATTTTTATAAGCTATCCAACTAAATTGTTTCAAAGATTAAAAAACGAGGGTTAAACAGGAAAAAATAAAATAAAATATATTATTATTATTATTATTATTATTATTATTATCATGTTGATTTATTTTAATTCCCGAGCGTCGTGCAATTGAAAGCTCGAGATAATTAAGTCGTATATAAATTATTATATTTATTCATCGTCAATCGAATCGTTCGATATTCTTCAATTTTAAGTCTCAGTTTAATTAGAATTTTTCTTAAGTGTTTAAGTTATTCAGCAATAAGTTCGATTTTATGTCGAAATAATTCTCGGTTAAATTCTATTCAGTAATCGAGTCATTTCAGTAATTAATTAATTTCGGTCTGTTTATTTTTATAAATGGATTTTATACAACGGGATTAATTATTTTAAGATGACAAATAATAGAAATCAAATTTTTACAAATTAATTATTTATAACATAAATTATATATTTTCCATACCCCTTTCCTTAAAAAATTTAATTATGTCATGTCCGCATATCCGTCAGGTTCATAAAGTGACAAATCTACCTTAAGGTGATATTACAACTCTGAAACATATTTGTTTAACCCCTTTTTTTTTTCAATTGTGCCAAAAATGTGGAGGGTTATTTTTGCAATCATCCCTAAAGTAAAAGAGACTTTATGCCATACGAAGATGTCATAAAAACCCGCCTCCTCCCCGAACCCATCCACGAAGCCCGCCGCCCTCATTCTCCGTGCCCACCTCCCCTTGCTCTCCACTCTCTCCACCCTCCTCGTCCCCTCCCGCGCCACCACGTCCTCGAAATAAACATATTTATGGATAGTTCGAATCAAATAAATATTTTTAAATTTGATTTATATATAGATTATTTATTTTTTTATTGTTAAATTCATTGATTATGCTTGATATTTCTATATTATGCAATAACATGCATTACATAACGTGCCTTGTCAATCCTCATTCTTTGACTTTGCCAATTTCTGTTTAATATGAATAAATTATTTTATTCATTATTTTTGTTATAGATTAGGTTATTTTATTAATCTATTTTAGAGATAAAACAAATTCTGATTCTATGTTTTCTTTATTTTTCCTAAAATCATTATTTTCATTGCACATAGAAATTCGATAGTGAAATTATATTATAGATTAAAATTTTTTATTATCTTTGTATAAAATAATATTATATTTTATTTTATTTTTTAGGAAAAATATCTTTTTTATTTTTTATCAGTTATATATATATAATATATCAAATTAATTAATACTTGATGAGCTTCGATTTAACTTTCATATTGTATGTATAAATAAAATAAATTATATTTATTTTTTAATATTTTTTTAAATCCTATATGATCTATAGTACAAAATACCATAATTATATAAAATGTCTTTGAAGATAATGATTTGTGGTGATGGAGATTCTGATGATAAGAAAACCACAAACATTGTATATAAAAAAATGTTTAATAGTATTTAGTTCTTCTTTCTTAAAATATTTTTTCAAGTGATTATGTTA